ATCATCATCTCCTATAAAATATGTTTTGTTAAGCTATTTTGATAAAAACAATCATGAAACACCAATCATGATAAAATGACAAATTATTTAAACTTTACAATATTTACATTTATTTAAAACAGGCCGCAATAAGTTAGGTCACACAACGTAAAGACCTGTCTCCCCCTCTCCTCATCCCTACTCTAACCTCTTAAAATCGTTTTCGTTGTAAATTTAAAATGTTACGAATCTCCAAGAGCCTTTGATGTCTGGACCTGTAAGACCAGCGTCACCAGGCTATAAATAGACATGATGTGGACTCGTATAACGAAGTGTACAGAACATAATACGATTATATGTTATATATACGGTCAGTCTCTTCAGACTTTGTACAAAGACAGGAGTTTCAGTGAGGAGTGGACAGTGAACGTCTCATTCTGATGATGTAACGTATTGCGTCCCGTAAAAGCGGAACAGGGAAAATAATTTGATTTTTAGTGCGTGTATTGGAATATTGGATGCTGAACAGACTAGGATATAGGGCGTGAGATTGATAATTGTGTTAACTGGAATTATGAGTTGAGGTCTAGCCTCTAAACTTGGCAGCAGATGCACCAACATTTGCGAAACTACAACATTAACTCATCATTTTGAGCTGGGGATTTATCGAGTATTGTTGCCTCGAATTCCTGCAAGATCTTGGAAGTTCAATGTTTCCGGCGAATACAACAAAGTAATAATTTCCGCCCATTGGCCATTTCCCTCAATGTTTGCGACTTTTTCTTCTCTTTTTGGCGCCTTGGCTGCTTTATTACGGCCCTTTCTCTTTTTCCCGTGCCGACAGAGATGATATGCTTATTAATATTGAAGATGATGATTCCAAATCGGGCTACCTTTCAATTAGGGGCCCCCTTCTGATGTTGCGCCATTTGTTATGCTCCTGACTGAAGAAGATAGTAGTCGCTATTTTACAAGCTGCTTTACACGTGGCATCAAACTAAATCTTATTTAATATTCTAGAAACGCTGTTACCGTAAAATCTTAGGATTTAAGGCTGTGGACGATTTTGAAGTTACCGTTCGCGTTATATAATCCAAGGTTGCGGAATGCTAAACATACATAGACCACTATAGCACACTGCAAAATTAACACGGGTTGCACTGAATTACACGGGATTTACTGTAATTTTCAATCACTTTGACACCTGGCACGAAGAGAGAGAAAATAACATGTAAAAAGTTCTGAAGGATAATATTATATTATATAGTGTAGTTTCCTAAGTCATGAAAATAATATTTAGTTTCCTATATATGGATCGTGTACAAATGCTGCAAGTAATTGGATAGATATTGTGCAGGATGGGGGGCACAGTTATTACATCACCAGCCAGTAGTCACCCAGTTATTGTCAAGTGCATCCTTGATAAAGGTTTTTAAAGAGAACAAGTAACAAAGTAACGCCTCAATTTGTTAGTCTGTTGACCACAAAGTCGGATAAGTGACTAATCGAGAAACGAAATGTTAGTCATGACTGACGGTGATGATATGACAATCAAACAATCTCCTCAAATCTCCCGCTTCCGTAACCTACAGACCTCCTGCTCCGTTAAACGCTGATCTTTGCTTAACTTTAGTGCCCGGGTTATGCGAGTTGTTATGATGGTCTTGCTAACAAGATGATTATCGATTCGTTTCTTAGTAACAGTCCCACCATGGTCCTCAGAAAGAGAGAGAGAGAGAGAGACATGGCCCTCACTGTAACAGAGCAGCCAGGTCTAACTCCTGGTGTCTTCTGGTGCTAGGTTACTTTTACAAAGCAGAACTTAAGTTTCTTTATTTCACCTTAGAACGGTGTCCGTGTATAATAACAGTGTACAGTCCCGGGCTCTGATTCAGTCTGAGTTTTACGGGTCCGTTCCAGACACTCACTATATATCCAGAGAACAGCTTGAAATGCCCCCCCTCTAACGATAATTGATGCGGGGTAAATAGTTTACAACTTCCCCCACATACCTTAGTCTGGACCTGGGTGCAATTATTTGGGAAGTAAACGTGATCATGTCCAGCAACCCGCGTCCGTGACAGTTTTATTAGTTACATAATTCTCTGGCGGAGCGTAATCTTTTCTTTTCACAAAACGCAGGCTTGTGTTCTGGAGAGAGAGAGAGAGAGAGAGAGAGAGAGAGAGAGAGAGAGAGAGAGAGAGAGAGAGAGAGAGAGAGAGAGAGAGAGAGAGATAGAGAGAGAAAGATAGAGAGGGCGTCTCCGTGTTAACTAGACCATGAATACAATAACATTAACGGTAACATGTGGTGAGGACCTTTTATTCAAACTCAGATTATTAGTAAGGACTACTTACCGTAAGTATAACTTAGTCTTATACCCTGCATCATCTAAAACCTCTAATTGACAATGAATACCCGGCTCTTAATCTCTTTTCTTAGTTAGATAATTTACAGGGCACACTAAGAAAGAGAAAGCAGCGCGGTGTTGTTATTGATTAGACACTACAAGGGGGGGGGGGGGGGGGGGTATTAGCCCTAATGAGCTGGTTACCTGGTTACCCGGTTACCCGGTTACCTGGTTACCAGGTAACCGGGTCCCCACTACAAGGAGAAAGCAGCTCGGTGTTATTGTTGATTAGACACTAAAAGGGGGGGGGGGGGGGGGGGGGATATTAGCCCTAATGAGCTAACCTCACAGGTGGCGGCGTGGTAATGTGCAGACTGGGGGGCAGGTAGGAGGGGGGCAGTAAAACATGACCCTTTGTAGACACTATAGACACTTGATAGGCAGTAAAACATGACCCTTTGTAGACACTATAGACACTTGATAGGCAGTAAAACATGACCCTTTGTAGACACTATAGACACTTGATAGGCACCTGGTCCTTTGCAGACACAGTGAATTGTCTTTACCAGACTGTACTACACAACTCATTAATCTCCCCGTTTGTTTCAATAACATATAATATATTTATTTATGTGATCCAATTAACATGCCTTGCTCTCCGGCTTTGTCTTTAATGTTATATACGCATCACTGGACTCGCTGCTCGCAGCAGCTCTCAGCAGAAGTACTAGGGATTATATTATTGTGATCATGTCTGTATACTCTGTGTAATTACTGGTTTATACCTGGAAACTCTCTCTGTCTCTACACTGATTTGTGAGATGGACAACCTTGGCACCTCTGATGATGATATGTCTGTAGTACCCCGGCGCTAATGTCTGTAGTACGGTTCTTATCTCGGACGGGTAAAACCACGCTAATTACATGATTTAGATACCAGGACGTAATTTGGGGATGATAAGCTGGCAGTACAAATCATGCGATGACAAAACACAGTCGCACATTTCAACGCACAATAATTACCTGCCACGACCAAGATAACCCGCCATTATCTTAACATACATCAAATTATAATTTCAAGTCGATTCTTGACCTTGAGAAGAGAGATCATGCGCTCTCTTCCAAAATGTAGACTTAAATATTTAGTATATGTACTCTACTGTATTCACCGTATTATATATAACTCACTTACTAAATTATAATATGTCCAATGTTAGGCATAATATTTCTCCCCGGTGTTTGATATCCAGAGTATATAATTTATTCTATAGGAGTGAGACGTGTATGAGTGAATGTGTGTGTTTCAGTTACATTACAAGAATGTCTGGGTAGTCTAACTTTTCTAATGATTGTAATTTTCATGAATATTTACGGACGAGAGGGTTCTCTGTGCTCTCGTGTGAAAGCACCAAAATAGTGTGTGTGTGTGTGTGTGTGTGTGTGTGTGTGTGTGTGTGTGTGTGTGTGTGTGTGTGTGTGTGTGTGTGTGTGTGTGTGTGTGTGTGTGTGTGTGTGTGTGTGTGTGTGTGTGTGTGTGTGTGTGTGTGTGTGTGTGTGTGTGTGTGTGTGTGTGTGTGTGTGTGTGTGTATGTGTACTGTGTCACGTTTTTGTGGGATCTTAATAACACCGTGACGTGCTGTATACTGCTTCTCGACGAGTTCAACAGGCAGCCTGTAAAAGAGCGGTTCTTTTAAACAGGCCGGTATTTCATCAGGACACAAGTTGTTGTAACTCCATAATATTATGCATATGTCTTTACGGTCATTTAAGGTCGTTACGGTCATTAAGTGTTTACGTTACTTTTACTGGCGGAGTACAATAGAGGCCGCAGCGAAGCTAGGCACGGGGAGACAAGAGTCACGGTTACCATAGTAACAAGAGTCACGGTCGTGGAGGCTGCATTGTTTCTGCCGGGGAGGCAAGAGTCACGGTCGTGGAGGCTGCATTGTTTCTGCCGGGGAGACAAGAGTCACGGTCGTGGAGGCTGCATTGTTTCTGCCGGGGAGACAAGAGTCACGGTCGTGGAGGCTGCATTGTTTCTGCCGGGGAGACAAGAGTCACGCTGGTGGAGGCTGCATTGTTTCTGCCGGGGAGACAAGAGTCACGGTCGTGGAGGCTGCATTGTTTCTGCCGGGGAGACAAGAGTCACGGTGGTGGAGGCTGCATTGTTTCTGCCGGGGAGGCTGCATTTGCCGGACCATGCAGTACAGTAGGTACCCATCCTGAACACCACAGCCCCAATGAATAAAGATTATCTTAAACCTAAGGTTCCACAATACGGGCATCTCCCCCGGCTGCAATAGGCCAGCTCTATAAGTAGGGAGGTATTCGGAACAGATTGTAACATTTACAAAGCGACTCTAATAGAGCTTCTAATAGTATTCTTATATACCGAACAATTTGCACATGGGCATAATCAGCTATTAAAGTTCCAACGGCCACAGATATAGCATTGTTCCCCCACCGTGAAATTGGCCGGTGGTGTCCCTCAATTTGGATCGAAATCATCACAAAATATATGGTATCTAAACAATTCCCATCATATTATGTGTACACTGAGATGAGTTTAAATGTTAAGAGCGCACGTTACGCCCAACTCGGACGCCGGCAGCAACAATCTGCATGCCACCCAACTTGATGAAAGCTGTGCACAGTTTAAAACGCGGTCCTCCATTCAGAAAGAATAAAATATTTAAAATCAATCATCATTGTAACATATGTCGAGATATAAAATATACTCTTCTAATACAAAATAGTCGCCTCGACGCATATAAACTGTTAAAAATATATAGAATCAAAACGGGTTGAAAGAGGATCAAACTTTTAACTACCAATGTTTCAATGTTTACTCTAGCTAAACTTTTACAGCAATTTTTAAAGTTCTAACAAAATCTAGTACAATATTTTTAATGGATCCCCACATGTTTATCTTGCGCATACATAACAACATGTTCATTAAAGTTCATGCTTTCGTGAGAAGTTATACACACGGCAACTAGAAACCTTTCATCAAACTTTCTTACTTCGTGCACTATAGTTTACATTTCATACATAGAGACATGTTAAGAGATAAGTATGGTTTGACTTGTTTTTTAGGATTTATTTGTGTGTGTCAAAATCTATTTTTAATATGTTCCAAATACTATGCACCCAGATATTTGTTGGCCACAACACAAAAGAAGGTCTAAGCCATGGTTACCTGGTTACCTGGTTACCATGGTTATGATCATGATTTATTCTTTGCCATAGGATGGTACCCGTAGGCTGTAGCCTGAAGGTGATGAAAAAATAAACTTGGAAATTAAATAATTATATGTAGTATATTTACAGAAATAACAGATCTTGGCTACTTTGGGAGGTAATGACAAATCCAAAGATCTGGGAGTCGCAGGTCGGATTTAAAGTTTTCAAATATTTTGAGGGTATCACTAATTCTCACCACCTCCAAAACCAGCCATATTAACATAATCAGAACCTAAGAATAAGTTAGAATTAAGAAAGTTCGTTAAAACACTTGTATGGGTCGGCGGTTCGAGTTTAACGCCCAGAAACAAAAAACTCGGAAATCTTACAGATTCTGCCTGGTTCGAGTTTAACGCCCAGAAACAAAAAACTCGGAAATCTTACAGATTCTGCCTGGTTCGAGTTTAACGCCCAGAAACAAAAAACTCGGAAATCTTACAGATTCTGCCTGGTTCGAGTTTAACGCCCAGAAACAAAAAACTCGGAAATCTTACAGATTCTGCCACGTGATGCCCATATAAGGAGTGTCACGTGTTCTTACAGATTCTGCCTGGTTCTCTCCTACGCTTTGTTACTTCAAGCTACATAATATCATTGACACCATGTGTGGTAACTTTCAAAAATTCTACAATTATTTATATAAACTTGTATATAATGTTTATATAATATCATGTATTCCATATCCACAAATTTAAAAAAGTTTCTCTTTATTATTCTAGAATTTAAAGGGGGAGTTTGTCTCTCTAGTTCTATATAACACACACAGGCAGGGGTGAAGGAGCGAGTGGTGGTTACATGGACAGTGGTTACCGTGGTTACCGTGGTTACCGTGGTTACATGGACAGCTCATCTAAACAGTTCATCCGCAGGGTGTTCCCTTTAAAGTCCGTTTCTTAGGTAATATAGAGGAACCATCACAATGCAAGGGAGAGGAGCACAGGCGCGTGGCGGGGTCAAACTAATGGCATCCTAAACAGTCTCTGCCTGGTCACGTGATGCCCATATAAGGAGTGTCACGTGTCTCTGACTTATCTTGAACTGCATCTTGTCCTTTGTGATCTCCGCAACTTTTCTTCTTGTTGGGTGTCGAGCTTTAAAAGTAACTGAAAAGTTTACTTTTAGCTGTGTATAAATCCTGATAGGTTTGTAATGTAGGGTAATTACGGGTGGA